AAGAGATGGCAGTTCTGCCCGAAAAAGATCAGCTGCCCACATCTCTGAGCTGCCAGCCCGACAGCTGGGAGAAAGGAGGATCAAGTTGACTGGCAGGATGGTTTACATCTAATGAGTTTGTGCACAATAATAGTATCATAAACGAGGCTCCAGAGGAACTCGCTTATTGCTTGCATTCCAAAAGTGAGATATGGCCTGACCAGCAGCTCCCAGAGCCATCTGTCATCAAATAGGCGTCTTTGTGTCAATGGCGGGACTGGTCTGAGGAAATGGAAAACATCAGCACAGGAAGGCACAGGACGACGGCGTGTCGCTCAAGAAGATTTAAAGGGAGCCCAGCTTACCTCCAGGAGCCCCAAGATTCCCAGCCGATTTTGAAATACGTATCTAAAACCTCTACCGCGAGCAGTCAGGCTTGGCGGCTGAATGCTAATGAGTCTTTTCCATGGGGTGAACGCAGCTTCTATCACTCAGGGTGACTTCTTGAGTAATACCATCCTTATCTGTCTGGATTTGGGGCTGGCATTATGGCCATCTCCTTTAATGTGTTTTTGCCAGCTTGATCCATCAGCATCTGATCGTCACCGGGGCACTCTGCTGTCACGACCGTTAGTGACAGGAATACTCCCAAGTGGAGTATTGGATAAAAGCTGTTAGGATTTCGAGTCATTCGATTTGCCTTGCTTTGTTGTTGTTGCTGCCATTGAGGAAAAGGGAGGAGGAGACCACAAGCTGTCAAAATGGAGACTGGGAACCCAAATAAACTTCAGCCTCAGGAACAGCTCCATGCTGAACAGGTGGAGCACCCGCGAGGGCCAGGGGACCCACGGTGGCTTGCTGAACCTTGGGACAGGATGCCACATTAGAAAAGCAATTCCTCCCAGCTCCAAGTCCAAGCAGCTCCAGGCCTGAGGCAAAGGCAGGTGTTCTCGGCAGTGTGGAAGGTCTCCAGCCAGGATCCCTTTTGTTCCTTTATAGCCAGAGACTCTGTTATTGTTTTTTCCCCACTGTTGATGACCTCTGCTGGGGAGTTCCAGGAATGGGTCCTACAGGTTAGGACTGATGGAGATCAATTTTGGTGGCTCAAAGATGCACCATCACCTCCAGACCCAGCTTTCATGTTGAGAACAATCTTCCTCCAATGCACTCTGGGGCCAGCACTGGCAGATCCTCATGGGGGGATGTGGTGGAACGAGACTCAGCATCTGTTGCAGACCTTCCTGGGTATGTCTTGCTGTACTAGAGAGTTTGAAAAACAAACAACTACATTTTCTAGACTCTCTTGCAGCTAAGAATCTCTTAGGATTCCAGCAGATTCTACCAATCAGATGTCCTCAGATAAGACCTGAAGTGTAGCAGGCAGAGAGGGCTGGAGTGAAGCTGCTTGGGTTGGAGGTGTCCAGGGGGGAGACTCTGGTTGCATTTTTTGGTTCTTGGCTCTGGCAACAGCCCAGCCTAGCCCTACGTAGGTGGGTATTTGAAGTTTCTGGTCCCACTTCATCTTTTGATAACTGGGCATCAAGGAAAAACCATCAGAATATTGGTGGTTAGGGAGGCCATGAGTGAAGAGTGTGGTGTTTCCTTTCTACACTCACAAGCACATGAGGGAGTTCTGCACACTATTTGTATGAATTTTTAAACATTTATTTATTTGAATGTCATCAATTCAGACACACGGAAAAAGAGATCTCCCACAGGCTGGTCCATAGCTCAGATGGTTTCAATGGCCAGGGCTGAGCCAGACCGAAGCCAGGAACCATGAGTGTCATCCACATCTCCCGTGTCAGTGCACGGGCACAACCAGCGGCCCCTATGTATTTTGTTAACTGTGTCAATCCCTCAGCACATATTTTTTTTAACCATTTCCCTATAATAGACACTGATATTTCAAATTTTTTTTCTTTTACCATTTCAAACTGTGCCATACTCAAAATTTTGAGCACATTTCTCCATTTACAATAATGCCCTTAACTGCAGCTTTGGCCAATTGAACTGTGATAAAGCCACAAATGGGTGTGCTTTAAAATTTTCCAGAAGCTATATTAGAAAATGGAAGGTGAAACTGGTAAAAAGAAATAATGAAATTAAAGTCAATTATTTTACACCCCAGCCACAAAGAGAAATTGCAGAACAGGTTGTTCAGTGTTGGAGTACATGTGTTGGGACTGGGCTTCTCAGTTGCTGGCGCCTGTGTGGCGGACAGCATGCCCAAATGCACATGGAGGACATGATGGCCAGCTCATCTAGGCCAGGAAGGGATGTCAACTGCCTCGTCAGAGGATGGAAAGCAGAACAGGTTGGACCACTCTCCCGGCCAAGCTCTGCAGCATGCTCCTGGGGCTGTGGATGCACCAAGGTGCGCCTAGTCAACCCACAGACCTTGCAGTGATTCTCTGCAACAACTGTTCTACAGGAACAAAACCAACAACTTCTCAGAACTATCAAAACCACTCAAGCGACACTTGGAAGAGATTCCCCACATAGGAATCTTTAAGATATCATCAAATAACCTTCCTCGGTGCTGATGTAGTTTGACTGCAAGGAGGGCTTCCCTCCCCCCATCCCCTGCAGACACAGAAGCAAGAAAAAAAAAAACAATACAGAAACATTTGTTCCACCCACTTTTCTCCAGACTTGATCCTCTCTAATCATATGGGTGTTGCATTTCTCTCCATTATATAAACAATATTAGAAAATAAATGTAAACAGTTCAATTATTTTGCTCCAAAGTTCTCCATATATCCATTGTAACGCATAACTAATATAGACATTAATGATTTTTTCATTCCTTCTTTCATGCAACGTCTTCAAATCTGATGTGTATTTCTCAGGTTGGAGTAGGAACATTTTATGTGCCTAAGAGTCACATGTGGCTGATGACAACTACTGGGCAGTGTGGCTCTAGAAACTGGACTGTTGACGAGTTGTATTATGACAGAGTGTGTTAAGCCATGGCCTGTGATACCAGCATTCAAAATGAGTACTGGTTCAAGTCCTGGCTGCTCCTTGTCCCGTCCAGCTCCCTGCTGTGGCCTGGAAAGCAGTGGAGGATGGCCCAAAGCCTTGGGACTCTGTACCACATGGGAGTCTGAGATGGAGCTCTGGGCTCCTGGTTTCAGCTGGCCATTCCCTGGCCATTGCGGCCATTTGGCAAGTAAGCCAGTGGATAAAAGATCTTTCCCATTCTGTCACACTGCTTTTCAAATAAGTAATAAATACATCTTGATAAAAAAAAAAAAACCCTTAAAAACCCCTTTTGGGTCATGGACGTGCCCATCCTCATCTTCACTTGATATTACAAATGTGTGTGAGAGAGAAATGTGCTGTTGCATTGGCTCGACAGGCTAATCCTCAGCCTGCAGAGCCAACATCCCACATGGGCACTGGTTTATTCGTGGTGGCTCCACTTCCAATCCAGTTCCCTGCTTATAACCTGGGAAAGCAGCAGAAGATGGTTCAAGTCCCCAGGCTCCTGCACAGATATGGGAGACCCAGAAGAAGCTACTGGCTTTCGGATAAGCTCCTGCCATTGTGGCCATTTTTTTGTGTGGTGAGGGGGATGGACCAGCAGAAAATCTCTCTCTGTTTCTCCTTCTCTCTGTAAATACGTCCTTCAAGAGCATTCTTCACAGTGTACAGATGTCTCTCTTTCATGAGTTCTTCCCACCCTGTCATTTACGCCAGGCTGATGGGCATACGCCATGGTTTGGCTGGTGCATGTCCCCCCAAAGCGCAGTCCCCATGGCTACCGTGTAATAGTTCTTTTGTTAATATCAATGGCATCACATTTTTTTTTTTTTTTTGGAAGCTGTGTCTTCCTGAGTTTTCATTCTGCTATGGACTTTGGAAGCTTTTTTTAAAAAAAAAAAACATTTTTTTTTTTTTAAAGGCAGAGTTACAGAGAGAAGAGAGAGAGTGAGCGCATACTTCCATCCACCTTTTCACAGGCCCAAATAGCTGCAACAGCCAGGTCTGGGACAGGCAGAAGCCAGATGTCAGGAGCTTCTTCTGGGTCTCCATAAAGGTACAGGGACCCAAAGACTTGGGCCATCTTTGGCTGCCCTCCCAGCGGTAGCAGGGAGCCGGATCAGAAGTGGAGCAGCTGGGACTCAAACCGGTGTCCACAGGAGATGACAGCGTCATGGCCACTCAAGTTACTTTCATATCCACCAGCTTTACTGAACTCTCACTGGTTCTGATGTCTTTTCTTTAGAGTCTCTTGATTTTCTTGCTAACAGCCATCTTGTCTGGAAACATCATTTTGTTTCTTCCCTTCCAGCCTGCATCACTACTTTCTCTCGGGGTGCCCCAGCTAATTTTGTAGACTCAGTTTACCTTGCTGCACATCTATCTTGGGCCAGCCCCATGCAACCATCACCCGTGGCCTCTGTTTACGATAGAGATGTGGCCCACCAAACCTGTTGCCAGCTGAACGTGCATTCATGTACCCGATCTACAGAATGTCACACTTAATGACAGAGCACACTGCAGTTCTTGGTCCTCCTTCCTTGTGCCTGGGAGCTGTGTTTATTGCTATGCTCATGACTGCAAGAGGGGAAAGACCAACATCCCAAACCTGCAGGACAGTTACTGCTGACTGCAGCTCGTTCTTTACAGCACCATGTTATTGGCCATTGTGCACATGTGTTTGACTTTCACGCACCTTCTTGTGTGCCCGTGAGCCTTGCATGTGCCCTGGCCCTGTCATAATGTTACTGGCTTTTTTTTTTAAAGGTTATTTTGGCTATTTTTGGTCCCCTGAATTTTTGCATAAAATTCTGGGTCAATGTCATTTTCTAAAAGGAAATCACCTTGAATCTGATGAGCCCTGCATTTGTCTCTGCACGTCTTGCTGACACTTGACTAAGATGAATGTGCCAACTCACACCCATCACGAAGCTGCACTGGGAGGGCAGTGGGCGTCCAGGTCTTCCTTTCACACAACTTGAACACTTTCAGTGACGTGTGCCTTTTGGACCCTGCATACCAACACAGGATTTCAGCTTGTCTGCTGATTTTATTTCCAATTGATGTTACAGTGCTTTAATCATAAAAATCATCAAAACCATCGCTGGATGTGTCACAGTTCCTCGGACGTAGGGCAGCTTCAATGTCTGAGTTACTGTCGTCCGACTCACCCCAGAAGACTGGAAGAGAAAACCAGATGGCTGGTTACGGGAGCCTCGCTCGCTCAGACCCGGGCTTTAGGCGGCAGCACAGCGGGACTGGGGACGCACCTTGTCTAGCAAAGGTCAACAGGATATCCTGTGACGTGCCCGAGGAGCCATTCATCCATGCATGTTCACACAGTCTCAAAGTGTGTTCCAGGCATGCTCTGGAAACCCCTCGCAGAGTTCCACCTTCCCCCTTCTGCAGTCACCTGAGGTGTTTCATCAGGCCCGAGACCACCTCACCCTCAGCAGCCCCTACACTTTAGTTTTAAAAAGATTTATTAACTTATTTTAAAGGCAGAGAAAGAGACAGAGACTCTTGCATCTGAACAGCCACAAGGCTGGGTGTGGTTAGATGCTTGGAGCCAGGATCTTTGGAGGAAGGAGCTGGACAGCAGGGGACCGAGGTGACACCAGAAGCAGGAAGTGTAGCCTTGACCTGGGGACTCTGGCTGTTCCCAAGCAGGAAGGCGAGAAGAGCACACCACGTGTGGGATGCTAGTGGCCAGCCGGAGGCCAGTCAGGATGTGGGAGGGACTGGAGGTGAAGAGCCGAGGCAGACTGATGAGAGCCTGGTCGTGTCACAGGCAGAGGCAGTGGACTGCCCAGTCTGCCCTGAGCTACAGGTGGCACCAGCTGCTGTGCTGCTGTGCTGCTGTGCTGCTGTGGGCTGCAGGGCCTGTGCGGCTCTGTGCTGGGGACCTGTGCCTTTGGGGAGATCCCAGGGGACACTTCTGTGAGCAGTAGCCACTTCCAAGTCCTTACGTGGGGGTGTGGGACACTCACCTATGTCACCACCTACAAACTATTGAAAACCCAGTGTGCAGTTATTTCTCTTACCATTAGACTTCAGGTTGACGATCAATTTCTTTTTGTTTTCATTCCTGTAAGAGAAAAAGAGAAGCCTCAGTCCTGCGGAGAGAACCAAGGCGAGCAGACTTGCTCAGCGCTGCTGCATGAGCGCATTTGGAAGCACCACAAGGTCAGAAACACTGGGTTTATTCCCCAGATTTCATTATATTTTAAACATTTATTTATTTTTTATTTGAAAGGCAGATTTGCAGAGAGAGAAGGTCACACGTGCACATGCACAAACACGCAGATATCTTCCATCCACTGGTTCACTCCCTTAGTGGCCGCAACACCCAGAGCTATGCTGGTCTGAAGCCAGGAGCCAGGAGCTTCATCTGGGTCTCCCACACAGGTGCAGAGGTTCAGGACCTGGGCCACACTCTGCTGATTTCCCAGGCTATTATCAAGGAGTCAGAACAGGAGTAGCTGGGACTCAAACCAGCGCTATATGAGATGTCGGAGCCACAGACAGTAGCTTAGTGAGTTATGCCACAGCACAGGCCCCATATTTTCCAGATTTTAAAAGCACTTGGAAGGGGCTACATGACAGACTCAGAAAAAGCTCCTGATTCCTGGCTTCGGGTCAGCCCAGCTCTGGCCATTGCAACCATGAAGACAGAAGATCTTGTGATTTTCCCTGGTCATCTTCAACCAGCACAAACCTGCCCCATCAAGCCTGGAAGGGCCCAGGCAAGCTTCTGAAACGAACACTGGATACTTACACACTGAACGAGCTCTCCTGACTTGTTCCTTCCGTCGCTGTTTACAAGATGTCTAATGAGGGACAATAACTCACATTTTGCTTTCTGAAGCTGGACTTGTTTAAGTTAAGGAAAAAACATTTTTGGTAGAACTTTAATGGGAAAAAAAAAATAATACCACATCTTGTAAAAGACAGAGCTCCACTAGTGATCTGACTCTTCTCCCGGCCAGGACTCTGTCTCCTGTGAAGTGCAGCCGGTTATGCCCCTGTCTGCTGTGCCAGCATCCTACACACGTGCCTGTTTCAGCCCTGGCTTCTTCACTTCTAAGCCAGCTGAATATCTAGGAAGCAGAATACGGCTCGAGTGCTTGGGCCTCTACACCCACATGGGAAACCTGGAAGGAGCTCCTGGCTCCTGGCTGCGGGCCATCCAGCTCTGGCTGTTGCAGCTATTCGGGAAGTTACTAGTAGAAGGAAGATTTTTTTTTCTCTATCTTTCCCTCTTCACTTTGTACTATGCTTTTCAAGCAACTATATAAAAATCTTAAAAAAAAAAAAAAACCTACCAAGTGCTATAATTTACTCCCTCCCCTCATAAGGGAAGATACACTGAATTAGCATTTTCTTTTTTCTTTTTTTAAAGATTTATTTTTTTTTAATTGGAAAGTCAGACATACAGAGAGGAGGAGAGACAGAGAGGAAGATTTTCTGTCCAATGATTCACTCCCCAAGTGGTTGCATGGCCAGAGCTGTGCTGATCCAAAGCCAGGAGCCAGAACCCTTTTCTGGGTCTCCCATATGGGTGCAGGGTCCCAACTCTTTGGGCCATCCTCAACTGCTTTCCCAGGCCACAAGCAGGGAGCTGGATGGGAAGTGGAGCTGCCAGAATTAGAACTGGTGCCCACAAGGGATCCTGGTATGTGCAAGGTAAGGACTTGAGCTGCTAGGCTACTGTGTCAGGCCCGAGCTAGCATTTTCTGGGCTAAAAGCAAACACTTCCTTTGCAATTTCAGACCTGCTTCTTCATTTATCATGACCATGCATGGGCCTTTCGCCATTTCTCCATGAAGGGAGGATCCTCCGCTTCATCCTCTGCAACCATCTGAAAGCAGACAGCAGCTTCACTGAGTCATGGAAGCTTCCAGGAAGACGAGCAGCTGGCAGGAAAAGGCAAGCCTGCCAAACTTGATCTCTTATAAAGTGCACGCGCGCGCGCACACATACACACAGAAAATGTAGCTGAGCATGGCGTCTATTATTTGCACATCGCCCTTTAGCTAAGTGCTGGAGGGAAGAGGTGCATTCCAAAAATGTCGGGAAGAGTATGAAAAGAGGCCGCTTTGCTGTCGGCAGTGCAGCTAGAGAACCACAGCATGGGGCAAGGGGACTGCTCTCCCAAACACACAGCACAGGCACAGGTGACAGACGGGGCTGCAGGACCCAAGAGGGCGGGTGACTCTGGTCTCTGCTTTAAACATAGACATGACCTCCCCAGCTGGAACCAAGAGACAGGATGGGGCAGTGGGGGGCCCTGCGAAGGCAACAAGGGCACAGAGGTAGGGGAGCTCAGGCCTGGCTCACGTCTATGAGTTCCAGAAACATATTAGCTCCATCCAGCTTTCTCCAGATGGCTTTGTGGCCAATGCCCCAGCTGCGGCCAAACTCACCACCAGCCAGTGCTCCCACACTGAGCCAGGCCCTCCCTCCCATCTCTGCAGGTGGCATACCTGATCTTCCAGCCACCCCAAGTTCCTCTGCACAACTCAACTCGTCAGAATCCAACCAGCCCCTTGGTCCTGCCAAACTGAACATGCAGTGCAGCCAGGGGCCCAGCATCCCCCTGTGCTGTTGCCTCACTGCTGAGCACAGCAGCGTCTCCTGCCGGGATCTCTGCACCTGCCCCCTGACTGCTGACACCTACCCGTGTTCTCCTGTCCTCAGAAACAGAACTCCAGTGGTGGTTGCGTCTCTGTTTAAAATGTGTCAGTGCCCGCCCACTGACCTGAATCTCACAAAGTCTATCTCCAAATAAGATGAGGCCAAGGTCGGGCTCTCTTGTAGCCTTGCCTGTTCCTCACTCTCCACCCAGTGCTGCGTCTGTGGCTGTTTTACACCCATCTGTGATGCGGTGGCTGGGCAAGCGGGTGTTCAGTACTCAGATGTACCGTGTGGAAACAGTAAATGAGCCCATTTAGTGCACGGCCCTGCCTGCAGGCTCTCAATCCATCTAATAAGAAAAGAAACAGTGCAATGTTGCCGATATGGGCACATGACAATCACACATGGAAGTAATGTCACAGCCACCCAACAAGTCCTACTGCGGAGGTCACCATAAGCTGCAAGGCACTGCGCACAGGAGCGACTTCCAGAAGCCAGCCATGGTAGGGAATGTGTGGATCCCCGTGGCTCAGGTACCAATGCCAAAGAGGTGCCCTCACCTTTCCAGCTGACTTTGACAGGAAAGGTGCTGTGGGTGAGAGGACAGCAGAGCCTGGCGGGGATGCTGCTCTGCAGTCAGACACTCCGGGCCATCCAGCACTAGTGATTAGGCAACTCAGATGATGAACTCGCCTTGGGGAGGTTGCAGCAAGAGGTGTCTGTCCCCGCAGCAGATGAGGATGGAGACAGCCCTGGGGACCACGGGACAAGCTCCATCTTGTGTGGGCGGGAATTACAGAAGACTGAGCTAACCCTTGAAAACCTGCATGGCATCGGCCACGTGCAGGGGCAGGGCCGAGCTTCCTGGCACAGCATGGGAGAGAAAGCGAGGACAGGAAACAGTGGGCTGTATCCGGCTGTGCTCACACGGTGGCCCTGGGCTATTGGGGTATGCAGGGTGGCCGTGCCACATTTGAGACAGTGACGGCCACAAGGGTCTCCTCCCTCGGCTAGCAGCAGAAGCAAGCTGTTGGGATGGTGGGCAGACACCTGCCTGGCCTTGAAAGAGGATGACAACCCAGTGGTAGTAATGGAGACACTGCCTCTCAGCCCAGTGACAAGCTTGCTCTGTGACAGTCAGTCGGAGGCCATGGCTGTGGGGTTTGGCAATGGGATTTGGGGGGCAGGGGGTGGGCGTCTTGCCGGAGAGCACCAGGCAGGAGTGCTGGGACGGTGAGGGACAGCTCCCAGAGCAAAGTCTCCTTCCAAGCACTGGGTCCAATTATAGGACTGAAAATCCCAACTTCTGAAAAGACCTGTCTCTGGGCTCAAAATTCTACAAATATTAATGATTTTGACTACAAGCTATAATCAGTGTTAATATTCCTTAAATAGCATCTTCAGCTTGAAATTTCCTCAGAATACTTCTATTTCTGAAAAACAGGAGGCAAAAAAATAATCCTGAAAAATGCTAATGTTTGTCCTAAGAACTGTTCACAAATATTAACTACGTTTTAAATGTCTGCTAGTCAGTTTAAATTGGACAAAGTCTGAGCGCCCCCTGATGGCTGATCAGGAGTCCTACAGCAGATGTTATTTTTAGTTGCCCGGGCTCAACTTGCTAACTTCTATTCAAGTAGTCAATTGATAGCTTTTGGGGGCTCTGTGCAGGAAAAAAAAAGGGGGGGAGGCTTTTAGGATTAGCATAAGAAACAGAGTTTTTAAAAACTTGCTACTTCAATAGAATTGGGGGAGAATGCAGATTTGCTAAGTCAGACACAGAGATTGAACTTCCAGAAAAAAAAAAAACCACTTTTATTTTTACTTCACTGAACTGTTGAGTCTTTGTAACTTTATATTTTAATCTGGGGAAAGCGGTACAGGAAAGGCCATGAGATGATGCCCCAGCCCCCACTAGGCCATCAGCTGCCGGCTGGCGCCCTCCGCTGGCCACTCCCTTGGCTGCAGGGCAGGCCTGGAATGCCACCCACGGTGGCCCTGCCTGTCGCAGTGGCTGGATGACTTTTGCAGCCTTTCTCTGGGGAGATTATGCTGCAGGCACACACCCTATCCTCTTGGTAAAGCATGGTCTTGACCCAACTAGGAAAGCAGAGCTGCAAGTCAGGAACTAACGCATGGAAGCTCCAAGGTGGTCTGCTAAAACATCCTCGCCCTGGAATCCGTGGATCCGGGCGAGAGCGAAGTGCTTCCTGGGGAAGGTAAAGCGAGACAATGTCTGCGCAGGAGAGGAAGCTCTGGCATGCACCCCCGAACAAAAGGGAACAAGTGGTCTTTGCTCGGAGAACGGCTGCCTATTAGGACTCACTCCTTCGCACATCATGCTTTTCATCCCCACTCAACCACAAAATGATGTTGCTGAAGCAAATACAATGGCAGAAAAAGATTTACACTGAAAGAATCTTTAATAATAAACTGTTGCCGATCTGCCTACTTGCCCGTGATTTATAATACAATAAACATCGGATTCTATTACGGCTCATGCACTGAAGCTGCCGCTCTGAAAGCCCGGCACCCCACCACCATCACAATGAAATGAGCATGGACAAATGTGCTAAGAGTATCTCTTTGCATCTTTTATAGCTGGTGTGTATTAATCTGTAGCGCTTATTAAGAAAGTCATTGCTATGCAAAGCAGCACCCAATCCCTTTCTCTGGCTTCTCAACAGAGCGCACTGTTGAGCCAATAGGACGGACCCTCTGGCCCTCATTCCGCATTCATCACAGGCAACATTTGCACAATGTATCTCTCAAAGGCGGCTGAAAAGAAGGCCTTAATACTCATGTAAACAACTGCAAACCAATTACTTAATGAATCAGGCCCACACATAATGAGGTGCAGACAAAGAGCTATAAATGCATTTTTGCACCCAAGCCGCTGCTTTAAAGTAAAATCCCTCAGCTGTAGTTTGGGCTTAACTAGCACATCATAATTATTGTTTCTAGGACATCAGAGGAAGCCCCTTTTTTTTTTTTTTAGGTCCAGCGGGGTCTTTTTTTTTTTTTTTTTTTTTTTTTAGATTGCTCATCAGCTCACTGACAAAATAGAGCAAAGAAGAATTTTTAAAAGTGCTACAGGAGCACTGCACTGGTATGTTTATTCTCAAGTACTGGGTCTCGAGACCACTTGTCAAAGCAATAAAGCACAAGGAGCGACTGCTGTAAGTGGGAGCCTTACATGTAAGCCTCTAAGAAAATTCCACGAATCCAAGCACAAACAGCAATGCCGGAGCTCTCCAGAGCCAGGCTGGGAATTCACAACCCCAAGCCCAGGGCGAGACTCCGGCGGCACCCAGCACATCAAGCCTGTACGAGCAAGTGCCAGGAACCAGGGGCTTCCTGAAGGTGTGTGTGTGTGTGTGTGTGTGTGTGTGTGTTCCTAAAGGGGATGTTGGCATTACCTGTAATTTACTGGAAAGTTAATTTCATATAAGAATAATAACAAAAGCCTTCTGTTCTTTAACTGAAAGGTTTGAATTCAGTTTAGAAATACAGACAGGATGAAAACTGACAGACTGAGAAAAGGGTCTACAAAATCTAACTGCTTTTTGAAGGCATTTTCAAATTGCCCAAATAACATATTTAACGTATCAAAATTTTTTTTTTTAGTGGAGACAAACGCTTATAAAATTCTTTAAAAAATGATGGGGGCGTATTGTTAAGCCCAACAGTCATGTTAAATCCTGAAAGCTATCTGAATTCATTGTCCTCTAAAATTTCTTTCAGGAGACTGAGGACTTGAATTTGTGGTGCAACTGTAAAAATATTTTAATATGCTTCCAGTCCTATTCATCACCCATTTCTTCAAACACATGGAGGAAAATTCGGATATTGGCACTAATTTGTGAAAATCACACGAGCATTTTATAACCATGATAAATTTTTAAAGGAAAACCAGTCTTTTAATATATGCCTGATCCTAAAGAATCTAAGTGAAAACATATTTTTCATTATAAAATGCACTTCTAGATCAAATCGTTTTATTTTATGGAAACCTGTATGTAGCATCAGAAATTTTCACCCAAGGTAAGTAGCTGATTTGAACACAGCACAACCTCTTAGAAGACACCCTGTTAATGAGCAATTCTGAATTACGAAGGACACTTGCTGTGCTGGTTTAAAGGACATTTGGTTTAAAGAAAAAGGTGGATATCTCACCAAATGTTTATATTCCCAACCTATAAATTCCTTTAAATGACTAAACGTCATTGCATGATTGACATTTTATGTGGGCAAATTCAGCAGTAACCACTGCTCTGAACAAATGACGAAAGATCAACTTTGTAACTTACGAAAAATAGCAAATACTACCAAAAAGGTAGGGACAAGAATACGTGGTGACACACAGAAATAAAAAAGCCAGTGGCCAGCAGTGGCTAGTCTGTCACGTCAGAAAGAAGAAACAGGTCACTTCACTCCTTTGAAGGCCCTTTCCTGACAACTTCCATTGTGCTGCCTCTTAGCAGTCCTACTGCGAGCAGCTGTGGAGGCTAATTTGTGGTTCACTGAGGTGTCAATTGAGTCTCACAGCAAGAAAACAACAGCTGCCAAACAATACTTTGCTCCGGCGCCAACACTTGCAAAGGTGGACTGAAATTTCAACTGTTATTTGTGATAAACAAAAACCCAGCCTATAAGCCCGCATCAAGTCACATGACGGGATGCTGTGGGTAGGCAGAGCCTAACTCATCACTGCTGACCGTACCTGGCTGCTCACTGCATTCAGACGGGCCCTGCAGACATTACCTTGACAAAGGACTTCCCTCACCAGATGAATCCCGGGCTCCGGAGGCGGTGCTGCTGGCCGACTTTGTCTGGGGTGCACTGCTGCCAACGTGCAGACCTGGGGAGGGCACAGACACAGAGTGAGTGGTGGCTGCCAGGCAGCACGGGGACAGGAGTGCATGGAGAGGCGGCCTCGCCAAGACCTCGGGAAGGAAGACATAATGGAGGAAGATGCTGTGCAAACCACCCAAGGCAAGACCCTGCCGGCAGAGCACTTACAGGAAGTGGGATACTTTCCTGGGGTCCTCACGCCAAGGCCACATAAAGCAAGACAGAAAAGCTCCCCAAAGGCCTTGATTTTCAAGGATGTACTGGGTAGCAGGTGGGTGTCTCCTGGGGCATGCAGTACCGGTTAATAAATGTTATTAGATATGCTGGTGACAATCAGGGCACAATGCAGCCTCAGGAATGGGCACACACCCCCGGCCCATGTAACCCTCTGCCAAATCTTTTCTCCATCCAGGAGGCTGAAGGGGAGGAGAGGCCGCACAAATGACCTCTTTCTGGAGAGCCAGGAGAGCCGAACTGTCCCTGGGCTGCTCCCAGACTGCAAGCATTTCCTGCTGGCTGCTGCCAGGTCTGCTCAGCCTTGGCTGTCTGTGTGACAGGTCTGCTTCCTACCTGGCATCACCTGGGACCCTAGGTGGGCAAGGACTGGGCATCTTGGCCAAAGGCGTCTACAGAATGTCTAACCTGCACCCCACTTAGCAGGCAATCCTCGCAGCGGTCCGTTCTAGGGCCTACCTGTCTCTAAGGACAGTGGAGACTAGGGCTCACAGCTGGAGTTGGCTGGAGCGGCTTTCCTCAGCAGCAAGCCCAGCCAGAGGCAGAGATCTAGAATGTGGGTGTTTGGGTCCCCCCAGGCCCATGACCACCTCTGGGTGGCTAGGGAATCTGCGCTATGTGCTTCTCTTCACAGCTCAGAAAAGTCCCTATTGTCAGGGGCAGAACAGGCGTGAACACCCAGCCACCACATGCAGGTCTGGGTCACTGTCTCACTAGGCTGATGGCGTCCACCCTTGGTGCCTTCGCAGGACTGCAGGACTCCACGGGGGGGGGGAGGGGGAGGGGTTAGAGCACAGGCTGACTGTGGTCACCCTCAGGGCACAGGACTCCACAGTGGAGGGGGTTAGAGCACAGTCTGATGGCGGCCACCCTCAGGGCACAGGACTCCACAGTGGGGGGTGGGGGTTAGAGCACAGGCTGATTGTGGTCACCCCCGGGGCACAGGACTCCACAGTGGGAGGATTAGAGCACAGGCTGATGGTGGTCACCCCTGGGGCAAAAGACTGCGCAGTGGGAAGGTTAGGAATGCTGTAGAGCACAGGATGGGTAAGCTTAGGGTACAAGGAGGGACTTGAATCAACTGATGCTTCATTGACTATCTATAAAGTATCATTTCACTTATAAAGTAGGTTAATAAAAAACACATCTACTATTAGTATATTGGTAGTACCAGCATTTTTTTTTTAGACATTCAAGAGACCACAATTTACACCAAACCTAAGCGTCTTTTGTATCGGCCTAATGAATCATCCCCCAAATGCTCACCAAAACCAGATTTGTGGGGTTGCCCTCCTAGCTGTGTGTGCCCACCAGCTAGCTCCAAGCCAGGTAGTAATTACTCTTGGGATCTCTTGTAAAATGAGCTGGTTAGGTATACATGTTCTAAGATTTTGGATTCTTCTTATTTATTTTTTATTGCAAAGGTAGATTTACAGAGCAGAGAGACAAAGATCCTCCATCAGCTGGTTCACTCCCACAGTGACCACAATGGTCAGAGCTCAGCCAATCTGAAGCTAGGGCTTCTTCCTGGTCTCCCACATGAATGCAGGGACCTAAAGTCTTGGGCTACAAACAGGGAGCTGCAAGGGAAGTAGAACAGCCAGGACACAAAAAAGCACGCATACGAACACCTGGAGATAGAGGAATAGCAGGCTGAGCCAATGTACTGGCCCCTAAATAGTGGGTTCTCATCTGGTTCAAATGTGAAGGTGATGAGGGCAAAGAATTTACAAGAACCAGTTAACTTTCCAGAGCGACAGCAACTCCCCTCAAGCTGGAGGGCTCGTGTGATAGTCAAGAAGCTGCACTCTCCTCCAGCTCCGCAGATCGTATCACCGCCACAGGGCAGGCCCTCCCAAGGCCCTGAATTCTCAAACCAATCAAAATAATGGAATTTGACTGCAACTGACTCCACCATCAGTCTCACCTACAAATGTTACTCCAATTACAGACACCCTAAGCACATCCCTCAAAAACAAAAAGCCCATAGGAAGAAAACATGCTTGGAACAATTGGGGGATTTGAATATGGATAGGGAATTATATGATATTAAGAAACTGGGGCAGTGAGTTAGGCAGCCCCTGCTATCTGTGAAACCCGCATCACATATGGGCAGTGATCCACATCCTGGCAGTTCCACTCCCAATCCAGCTTTCTGCTAATGTGTCATGGGAAAACATGGAAGACAGTCCAAGTCGTTGGGTCTCTGCCAGTAATACGGGAGACCCGGATGAAGCTCCTGGCTCGGGTCTGGCCCAGCTCTGGCAGTTGCACTACCTGGGCAATGAACCAGTGAGTGGAAAATGTCTTTCTGTAAGTTTGCCTTTTAAATAAATAAACAAGCACTTAACAAAAACCACTACTCATTCTGATGGCTAAACTCATGGCAGGGTGGTTCTAGCTATTCATGTGTATGTCCATATCAATCCACTGTCACAAAGAGAGTGGAGGTAACTTGAATTTCTTAAAAAATTGTAACAGGGGCCAATGTTGTACACCACGGGTTAAGCTGGCATCCCATACTGGAACACTGGTTCAAGTCCTGGCTGTTCTGCCTTGCATCCAGCTCTTGGTTAATGTGCCTGCAAAAGCAGCAGAATTCTGATGATCCAGTGCTCGGGCCCTGCCACCCATGTGCGTGATGCAGATGGATTCCAGGTTACCAGCTTTGGCCTGCTCTAACTGGGCTCAGACTCACTCTTGTGTCCAATTGGAGAGTGAGCCAAAGGATGGAAGGCATCTTTCTGTCGCTCTGTCTCTCCCTCTGTCACTGCTGCCTTCCAAATAAATTTAAAAACATATATATTTAAGGAAAGGGTATGATAAAAGGAAAAGCACTGAAAGTAATTAATGTAAAATAATCAATCTAAGAAAACAAACAGAATTATTGCAAAAACAAAATCCTAGGTGGCAGGAACTCAGCTTTCCAGGAAGACACATAAAAAATACTTGAAAGACCTCAGACTCTGGGGAGGGGTCAGCCCAGCTCCATATTACCCTTCTGATGATGAAGAAGCCAGGAGACACGGGGAGGAGAAGGAACTGGGAGCATCTCTGTAGTCCTAAGTGACAGGTGACTATCATGATTCATCTAGAAGAATCCCAGGGCTGGGACTGGCACGGAGGTGAGGTGGGAGGGCACATGGTTCTTCCACATGCCTGTTTGCTAAGGACAGAGACGTACTAGCTGTCCAGGACCTGGTTGCAGCTTGTTACAAAGCCCTTGGCTGGCCCAGGACACTGACGCACCTGACGGCTGTGACGCAGAGGCAGCTGCCCTTGGCAATCTGTCTTCAGTCTGCTTCCTGTTATCCTGGAGGGCAGACATCTTCAGCAATTGGTAGACTCTTGTTTCTATGGAAAAGCAAAAAATTAGATACCCTGACTTTGCTATTGTCCAGAGAGAAGCATCTTCAATTCCTCCCATGAGGTGAACTCTTAAAATGCAAGTTAATTTTCTGACATCACATTTTTGAAATTCTGAAAGCAAACAAAACACAGTAGTTAACACAGTTTTCCAGATGCAAACGCAGCAGCTGAGTCTACCTGAGGTGGCCAATCTGTCACTCTTTTGAGGGGTCTGTGGGTCTCCTCATAACAAAATGACTGCTTTTCCCTGCAGCCCACACCAAGGGCTCTTGGGAGTGGTCCGCTCTGCTTCCCAGGCTCTTGTTGGGGCTCTGGGAGAGGCTGCGGGAATGACGCGGCAGCAGGGTGGACTCCGAGTCCACCCTGCGGGAAGCAGAGGGAGGATGTGGGCAGGCAACACAGCCAGGCATCAAGTGTCATCCCCCTGGCCCGGCTCCGGCTCCCAGGCTGCCCGGCCACATGTCTGCTGCCACACTGGGGAAGGCACTAGGCAAAATGGCCAAAAATGACATTAAGATCCAACCTCCCTCACTGCTTTCTGCCTCTAGGATACCTGAAACAGAAAACTAGTGCTTTGACATGGATATAAGGAAACAACGCCCACATTGCCAGTGTAGCCACAAAGGGACTCTTGCAGCAGCCTTGTCAGCTGCTTTCTTGCTTTCGCTGCCCTGACCTGCGAGTTCAAGGCCCAACCCCTTGATGACTGGGTTGAAATTTCCACCACACTAAAGAATGAAAATGTAACTTATCTCACTGTACTGGGAACGAGTCAGGTTAAAACTGACTATTTAAGAAGAGCATCTTACTTTGGAACTTCAAATGCTAAATAATCAAAAATATGTATGGAGCAAGGACTCTTAAGAGATGATTTATAAATCCTAAAGCAAAGCTTGGTAACAATACTGGGTCATGAAATAAGTCTGATGGGTGTGATTTTAATAAATTAATACAGAAAACTGTAAGAGTATAAGGAAAGAGTGTTATTTTACCTAGTTTGTGTGTGTGAACTGTGTGAGCCTGGCGTGTGTGTGTGTGTGAACTATGTGAGCCTGGCGTGTGTGTGTGTGTGTGTATGTGAATTGTGTGAGCGTGGTGTGTGTGTGTGTGTGAACTGTGTGAGCCTGGCGCGTGTGTGTGTGTGTGTGTGTGTGTGTGTGAACTGCATGAGCTCCGGCCTGGGAGAGAATACATTTCCCAGCATTGGAATGTCTCCCACAGGAGGCGCTGTAACATTCTCTGATGAACTCTTAATAGCCATAATACTTTTGATGAGTTATAAAGTGTGTTGATGAGGAGGGAGATCTATTAATAAAATCAGAAACACAATGTCTGAAATTTGAAAGGTAAAGAATCATTGTAAAACAGGTGAAATGCCCTGCTTATTTTATAAAAACTGACCAAAAAAAACTCCTTTTTTTTAGCTTTTAGGGTACAAGTCTGGAATTTAATGACCATATGCTATTCTGCATTCAATTAAGCTTATTTGGTCAAGGAAAACATTGTGAAGGTAGAAGTTAAAAAGGGAAAAAACAGAGCGGCTCCTTGAGCAACAAAGGCTTCGGTGCTGGAGGGGGCAGCTGTGGGAGTTGTGGTCAGAGCTCCCTTCTGCTGCCTTCAGGGGCCTTGCTGGGCTCCAAGCAGGTGCTCCCCCACTTCCCCAAGGTCAGGAAAACACCAAGTACTGTGACTTCCAGAAGATGTTCGGGAGGTATAGCACGGCGGTAGCTGAAAGGGAACTTCCAGTTTAAGTGGATTGAGTGTTTGGCCCAAGTGGGAGGCGGCACGGAGACCAGTGGCTGGCATGTGGCGTGGGGTGGGCAGGATCCACCCAGAGGCAATGGAGCTTACTGTGAGCTGCAAGGGATCCTTTTCCTACTGTGGAAAAACCAGCTCATCTCCATCTTTCTCACAGTCTGTCTCAGCCTCCTGCCCTCCCCTCCTGAGAGGACACTGTTTTGGGCTTCCCCTTCAAGGCTGCTGACCAGCTGTCCTGCAGGAAGAGGCCTAGCCTTACCGGCCCACTAAGGGAGAGCCAGCCCCTTCCTGGTCAGACAACCCCTTCCCGGTCAGCCAACTCCTTCCCGGTTAATCCCTTCCCTGTCAGCCATTCCCTTCCCATTCAGGTAATCCCTTCCAGGCTCCTTCAGCCTTCCGCAGCCCTTCTCCCAATCACGGCCGTACTCTGAACAATCCTTATCTGGGATGCAGCTACCTTAACCTGAGTGCTAAGGTGCCAGCAAAATCAAGCCGAGGACTGCTGGACACCATCTCCCTTTCCCTACCCATTGAACACTTCCTCTAATGGTTTAAGAGCAAAGTGAATTTTCAAAGGTAGAAGGATGAAACGTGTTCAGGAGGAGGAATAAGCATGAACCATGGCAGACCCATGCAGACACCAACGCACTGGAAGGGCTGGACGGGGCAGGTGCTGCCTGCCGTCCACAAGAGGACGTCTGTACGAGGGCTCAGATGCAGTGGAGCTGGAGCCGGTCTCCCTTTGGCATGTGTCACCCACTAGTTCCGGTCGGAAGGGAAGCACAAAACAATAGCAAAGGGCTGAGAGCCGTAGCTAGGAAAAACCCAGGCGTTAGGAGTTGGTTAAAGAATGCATGAACTGTGTAAACAAAATTGGAGATGGGAGGAAGGGCTCAGACCCCAGATCCTGCCACCAAAATAGACAGGGCAGGACTGGGAATGCAGGAGCCTTCTAGGGCAAAGAGGGACACAGAAGAGCGTTAAGGCAGCTAAGGTAGAGTGAGGAAGCCAGGGCCTCAGCCCCCTGCAGGGCCTGCCCTCACGCTGCATGGAGCAGCTGGTCCTTGGCTAGAGCCAACTGCTACCTGGTGGAAAAGCAGGAATGGTCCTGCCAGATTTCTGCCTCTCCTTTATATTTTTAAACAAAACACTGCACAGGTCAACCACAATATGTTTATTTACAACTTGGAAACTAGACTGGTGAACAACTTTTTAGAAACCCTAAAAATGGCATGAGAACACCAGAGCCGAAGCTGGAGGTCAGCTTTCTCCTCCAAAGGCCTCCTGGAGACCCAGCGGCAGCTCATCCACAGCAGGGGGAAGGCTAAGCAGCCTCACGTAGCCAAAAGGGCCAGGTTTCAGACAACCTGGGAGGCAAGAGCATGTCTTCTGCTGAAGTCTCAAACGATCCAGATGGGAAAGGAGACAGATACGAGGCTTGTGCCAACGCAGGCCCAGATTTTTCTGAAGCAAGGACGGTGACAATGACACAGCTAAAAGAGGAACTGTGCGGCCCTGCAGATTCAGTGATCAAACAAATCAACAGAAGAGCAAATGGAACAAATCTAGAAGTTTAAGCTGGCCTGCTATGAAAGAAATAGGGATAGGACATATGGATTTCCAAGGGGAAAATAACTAGTGAAGGAATTAGTAACCCTGAAGTCAGAAAATCTGTGAACTGGGTGGTCACTTAAGACTTTGCTTTCTATCCTATGCCTTGCAACTTCCGGGAAATACACCCCTCCCATTTGTGACGAAGCTCACCAAGTAATGACAATGATAGATAAAGCAAAATTTCTAAAGAATATCATTATTTTCCTTTGGAATGTTCTGGTAACAGATGCATGTATAAGCTTTCATTTCTGAATCTCAGTCAAGCACCTATTACGTAGTCAAGTGTGTCAAGATTTAGTTTGCAAAGTACAAAACACTACAAATGAAAGCATCAATCAAGGCAAAGGAGTCAGTTCTGGGTAGCAGCAGCTCCAAGCGTTAAATCTATTCGTGGCTACTAATTCCAGACAGACCACACTATGAGCTAAATACATTTTCACCGACTTTGTTATATATTTCTTGCCCAAGCCCAGTCATTTAGCCACCTGCAAAGTGCTGAAGGATCACTGAGGCTGTTTTAGTCTTTTTGATACATGTTTTATGTCTAGAAAATAGAAACAGCTAGAGAAAGAAAATGAAAAGCTGCCCAATAAAGGGAGGTAGGAGAGAGATGGTGTGGAGGAGAGGAGAAAGCCTCAACTTGATATCTTTTATTCTCTTTTACATGCAAATGTACACCTGCTAAAATACTTCTAAATCTAAAACAAAAAGAAAATATCTGATGAGCAAATGTTTTTAACAACCTATTACAAGAGCCGGATAAACGAGTGGCTCAGCAGCCTCGAAGGGGTGTCTTCTGGGCAAACAATCTTCCATTGCTTCTGCAGAAATCCTTAAAGGACACTGGGGGAAAAGGGAGGGGAGAGTTGAGCCCAGAAGAGGAATCACAAAGGCAGATACAAACAATACTTTCCCTGCAGCTAGGAAAAAAATGCCCTTGGACTGGCGAAGAACTGGGCATCTTCGAGTGAGGAGGGATAATTACTATTCCTATGTGAACTGTGTAGAAGTTCTAAAAGTAAATTTGAAAATATATTTTCTGTACACAGAACTTCCCAACATTGTCATTTTTCTTTTGCATGGTACTAGATGTACTGCGGATGCTGCAAGACCCAGTTTCTGAAAGAAAATGGGATCAAAACAAGATATATTTCTTGAAATTATTCAAAACATAAGCATTATCACTAAAAATCCAGAAATCATTTTTCTAGTAACCTGATCATTTGCAAATGAGAAAGTATTAGGGTAGCAGTGTTTGTACAAGTCTAAAGACAGAAAGCTCATCTGGATATAGGAATTTTCTTAAAAGGTCACAAAGAACACACAGGTGTGGATCCAAATCACTTCAGCCTTTTTCAAGAAATGCCACTCCTTCAACAGACCTGAGGCTGCACTGTGTTGCCAAGGTTTCATTGAGCTCTGAGCCGGAGAGCTAAGGTAGACCAGGTGCTCTCAATCCACACCCCTTGCCTGGGGCTGCTTCTGTAGAGACTGCTCCAGTCTTAATCTCAACAGGGCAACTCAACAATTGGACCTGAAAACAAACCTTAGGCTTGCCCCTAATCTGGCTGACTTCACTTTCTGTGTAAAATCACAGTCACAGTATTTGCCAT